TTGAGTAAACTTGCTCAGACAAGATTAATTATTCCTAAACTAAATTGAATGAAGGTTTTACAACAAAGATAAAAACAGATAATAAAAAAAAATGCGTAGGATTCTGTAAGTAGAACGAAATGGATTGCCACCAATAAAGAATGCGCGAGATGCCGGTATTGCTGAACGGATATCGCAAATATCTGTTTACTAGACCATATTTAAAACTTCCCTGCAAGAAATACCATTTCCTTTTAAAATATACATAAAGCGTGATACTCATTTACTCACATAAATGTTTTCATCCAATTCCTGGCAAGCGTTTGGCAAATCTGTTGAATGCCTATATTTTATTACATACGAGATATTTTTGTATCAGGAAGAAAAAAAAACTCGTACTTTTTTCTACTCTTTGAGACAATTCTGGCTCCCTAAATGATAGACGTAGATAAATTAATTTAATGCAAAGATTCACTACCGTTTAACCGGTAAATAGATCAACGGGTTGGCTTGACCTCTCAGCGTAATACCAACTAAAATCAAACTACACATTTGTCTTCATTTTAGATTTTGTACTAGTCCCTATATTGTGGCATGCGCATTCTCGTTTTTGAACTAATGCTGTAATGGCGATAACTAGGAAAAGAACACAGGAACAGTTTTTTTTTAAATTTAAGGTAATGTATTTTCAAAATATAATACCTAAGAACTCACTTGGATTACATACGCAGGAATTAATAAAGTTTTTTTTTGTGAAACACAATAGGCAAAATACACAAAGGTGGAGAAAGTAGAGAGCAAAAATGTTTTTATCCACTCCAAATTTTCTATCCTAAAGCTCATCCCATCAAAAGAAAAAAAAATATATTGCGATTAAAGCACAAATTAATTTATATACGTTTAGTATATCACTTGTCCAACTTTGTTGCGTTTATGGCTCTCATGACCGTTGAAATTGTTTGATTAACTTTTATTTTAGGTCAAACGTGATAAATTGCACATAGAAGGAGAGTGCAGCACCAGAAGACTCTTTAACACTAAAGGAAAATATGATCTGTTTTGTTTGAGAGGAAAAAGGGTAAGTGTCACGTGCCTTAATATACATGCAGTACTCAATATATTTAAATAAATTTGATTAAGAGGAAGCTCCGACGAATTGTTTAGTGACTGATTTGCTTCAAAATCGGTGGAGTGCATTACTAGACACATTGGGACTTGTAACTAAAATTTAAAGTTTGGATAATTGATGTCGCAAAGTTATTGAATTTTGAAGTATGTTTGAAGTGTGGCTCGAAGGATTCAGAGGATTTGCTGGCAATTCTGAAAACATGACTGAAGTGTTAATAATAGGGGAATACAGCTTGTCCCGAACGGTTTCAACCAAATATGATCTTATGAAATGAGGCTGCATAATGAAGCTTACAGCAGCAATACGAAAGGAAAAACGCGTAAAATATTATGTTTTTTCAAAGCCGGTATAACTTCCCTGTTATACATGTGACGTCCCTCAAAATAAGGAGCATTGAAGGAAGAAAATATGTGTGTTGCTATAAAGTATGTTTTCCAAGATATATTTTAAATTTAAAATACCTAATATTATACATAAAATAATAAAACCCCTGTCTTCCGAAAATGAATTTTGTTAAGGAATATGGACAAACCAGCAGAGTTCCACATTAATTTATTAAAAATGTATAAGTCTGAAGAAAGAAGCGGGGCCAGGCAGCTGTATAAGCGCTGAACCTCTTATTTCCCACCCCTATGTAGAGTCGTCTGCTAGTGTCTATCTTGCTTAAACTTGTTTGAAATTTAACCTGCATGCGTGACCAAGTATAACCTCCAACTTGTCGCTGAAAAAACAACATTTGCTTAAAAATACCGGCCTGAGAGATGGAATTTTTCATCTGGACCAGTGGCAAATTTTGGTTTCTGATTGAATTTTACTGCACAATATTGCGACCCTTAGCTGTAGCTGGTCCAAAAAAATAGCCGAAATATATTCATACACCCGATTAGAAACAGGCAGAACATGATCTTAATTAAATTCCGAAATAGTACTTATGGTGGAAACTAGCCATGCATCCCAACATAAAAGAAAAAAAAACACATCTCCAATTTGCAATTTTTCTTAATTGAACGAGAACAAAATTTTCGAAGCAACCTGTTTTTCGAAGAACCACAGAAAGCCCAAACTGGCACTATTGTAGGATCTTTGTATTAAAACGCAACCAAACATTGCCACATTACCCTTTTCTTAAGCATCCGCAAAAACCAATACGGCCACGCTTCGCCTTTTGCTTTAAAAAGCGATTCTAAATTCGATAGGCTCAATACCTTTAGCCGCTCAGAAAACATAAAATTATAATCATGTGTCCTTTTTCCGAAATCGCGGCATGCAATTTGACGTTAAGTGTCTCAAAAACATAAAACTGAAATTATATGAGACTTTTTCTTTTGTGGGAGCTCACCTATTTATGACGCCACACGTAAGGCGAACTCCTGACCAGAGGAGTCTGCCGAACACCGGAGGTATCCGACACCATCAGAGATCCCCTGCTGCCCGGAAGAATGAACATCGCCACCACCCCTGAGTAGGAAACTCCGATGAGCGAGAGAGACGTCCTGAGACCAGGAGCCAGAACGGCTGCGAATTTCTTCGGCAGATAATTCGCAGTGTAATAAATTCGTTTAATAAATTATATATTTGTAGAAGCAACACACCGATATCTGTATTGGGAGAAGGATAACTCTTTCGTCCAAACGAGCGCCGTTCAGCCAACCCGCACATCATCGCGCCGCTTTCTTATTCCCGTAACAAGCAGAAACTCTTGGTCCCGTACATTTCCTTATGTTTTCAGAGGTTTCTCAGCAATCAGGGCTGCGCTAGAATAAATGGAACAAAAACGGAATTAGATGCATCTTACTTGGAATGAAGTTGGAATGAAATGGGCTCGACTCAGAGTCGAGCTGGCTCGATCTCTAGTAAGGGCCCCTGGCCTGCTTGAGAAATGCTAGTTCACAGTCAAAGTGGCTCTTGAGCTAGCATTACCGCACTTTAGGTGTGTGAAGCTTCATTATCCGATCATTTCATGATCCTTCGAAAATGAAAGTGGTGCGCTATAAGTGAAGCAACCAAAACTCAAATTCTTGGCGCACAAGGTGTCGGTCCCTGGAGCGCGAGGTGCGACCAAGTGGCTGTTGTAATCATGTGCAATTAGTATGTAGCTTTTAAACAAGAATATATTATAGTGTGTGCGTGGATACCTTATAAGGAGTGTGAGGAGTGTGTGGCGCCGGCGACAACCGGAACGGTGCGTGGACACCCCTTCCCTAGGGTGGGATTCCTTGGGACAACGCTTGTCCCCGCTCCCGCGGGTCGCTGGAAAGAGCGAGAAACGGGAGGACAGTGGGAAATGGCGCTGGGAGAATAAAGGAGCGTTGCAAGCTCACGTAAGACGTATGGGAAAATGTCCGCTCTGCCGATCCAAGCGTTACAAGTGGGGCTCGTCCGGGATTGCATCATGGACTCCTTCACAGCGCGAGAGGGGCTAGTTCAGCAGCTCCTTCGACAGACCGACGGATCGGCGCTGCAGCGTGAGCACGCTGCAGCACAATTGCGGCAAGTCGTAATGGCGGCTCCGATGCTGACCGGCGCCGAAGTGCACGTAGTGACTGTGGCCACAGTTCATTCCTCCGGCGGTCCTGTGCCCAGGATCATGGCCCAGTTGCCAAAGTTGTCGGGGTTCAGCGATCTGCAGTCGCCCGGGGAATTTCTGGAGCGGCTCGAGAACTCTTGTTTGGTGATGGGAGTCGCCGCCGAAAAACGACTGAGCGAGTTTGTGCCAGCCGCACTGGAGGGCAGTGCGAAATTGGGGTGGCGCTTCGTGGGCAACTTCGCCAGCTGGGACAACTTCGTGTCCACGTTCCGCGAGGAGTTCGCCTCCATCGACGCGGAGCGTCGCCTCAATGTCTAGCTGCGACTCCGTACACAGCACCCGGAAGAGAACTTGAAGGCGTTCATTCACACGATTGCGGCATACTACGACCGAATCGGAGAAGAGGTGCCGGACTCGAAGAAAGTGGACTGGGTCCTCCGGCGGGTCCAAATGCACCCGCAGCTGCAGAACTTCGCAGAGGGGGCGCAGTTCGCGAACGCGGCGGAGCTGGCGAAGGCAGCGGACGGCCTCATGCAGCGCGCTTGGCGACGGCTGCAGTACGTGCCACCGCCTCCCCAAACCAACCAAGTGGCCAGAGACCTCGCCTTCAGGTCTGCAGCTGGTACTCCGGGTCTTCCCTGGCCGCAACCGGCGATGACGGCGGCTACAACGTTTGCTTCTCCGGCCGCAGTTACGCAGTCGACGTAACCCTGCCCACTTCACCCGGCAGCGATCCAGCCATCCTACCACCGGGACCAGCTTTACGGCCCAGCTTTACTGTTGCTGCCCACAGCCACCTTCGCGCTGCCGTGAACCCAGTGGCAGCAGCCTAATGGAGGACAGGCTCACTGCGAGCGCTGTGGAAAAATCGGCCACTCCGCTCGTCACTGCGGCACCGGTCGGCGGGCTGTGTCAACACCCGCTGCGTCCCTTCTCTGCTTCCGATGCCAGCAGCCGGGCCACTTCCAAGCGCAGTGCCCGGGAAACGGGAACTAGTTGGTGCTGCCCCGTCGAGCATCTACGACAGCGTGTTGCAGGTGTCTACAACTGCCTGTGTTAAAGAACCCCTCGTGGAAGTGCGGATTGGTTTGACGACCTTCCAGGCACTGCTCGACACGGGCTCCAGCGTTAGTCTGCTTGGACTGCCGGCGATGACAGCTGCCCAAGCTACAGGAGCCGGTCACAATAGGGAAGTCCGCACGCTGCGCCTCGCAACAGGCTGGTCTCAGCCCTCCACATCGCTCAGATGCAAAATCCAATGGGCGGCCGGTTCTCGGAGGCAGCGCTTCCTGTTTGTGCCCGACTTTTGCCGAGGCATTGTCCTGGGGAGGGATTTTTTTCGCGATTACCGGCATTTCAGTGCACATGGCACTAGGAGGGTGGACGATTGGCACAGAACCCCAGTGCATTGTTCTGTTCGCTAAGGGGGTGAAGAGGCCAACTGAGGAGCCTCTGGCCGCAGATGATTTCTACTGCCTCCAAGGCATCTTCACGGAGGAGGAACCTGACTGCGCCAGCGCCTCTGACCAGACCACCTCCAGAGGCGATCGGCCACAGAATCATGCACCGGAAGTGGACGCTTGCATGGAGAATGTGCTGGTGGACTTTCGGCCGATGTTTACCACAACTCCGGGCTGCACCATCCTCGCTCAGCATCCGATAGACACGAGAAAGAGTCCGTCCGTGCGCTGCAAGCTGCGCCCTGTCAACGCCAAAAAGCAGAAAATCATCGACGGCTGTGTGCAAGACTTGTTGGAACAAGGACTCATCCGCCAAAGTAACCGCCAGTGGACAAGCGCACCAGCGTTGGTGGCAAACAAGTCAGGTGGCTTCAGACTTGCCATCGATTATTGGCCACTCAACGCATGTACGAGGGAACCAGTCTACCCCATGCCCAGGACGGACTGGCTGCTGGCATAATTGGGTCAGGCAGAGAGGATTTCGAGTTTCGACCTGTCTCAATTTCTTCTTCAAATTTCTGTGTGCAAAGAGGAGATTCCCAAGACCGCCTTCATCTGCCACCAGGGAACCTTTGAGTTCACACGGGTGCCATTTGGGGTGGCAGAGGGCCCAGCCACCTTCCAGGCCTTGGTGGACAGGGTCCTGGACGGAATAAATCACCAATTCACCATGGCATTTATGGACGACGTCCTCGTGTATTCAGATAATTTGGAGAGCCACGTCACGCATTTGCAGGAGGTGTTGCAGCGCATCAGGTCAGCGGGACTCACCATCAATTCAGACAAGGTCCAAGTCTGCCGACGGCCTCTGGAGTTCCTGGGCCACGTGATCTCCCCAGGGGAATGCAGACCCGACGAAGAGAAGGTGCTTGCGGTGCTGGACTATCCTAGGCACAGCACTGTCAAGCAACTGCAGGCCTTCTTGAGTTTATCCGGCTACTACCGGAGCTTCATTCCTCAATTTTCCATATTTGCCTGACCACTCACAGACCTCTTGAGGAAGGACCATAAATGGCACTGGACTCATCGGCAGGAGCAAGCATTTGCCGCACACAAGGTGTCCCAAGCCCACTACGTGGTTGTGAGTCTTCCCGCCTCGAATCAACCCTTTGTCGTCGAGACTGACGCCAGTGGAGTTGGCATTGCGGTAGTGCTGCTCCAGAAAGGGTCCGACGAGCTACAGCCAGTGTTGTTTATAAGTAGGGTGCTGACTGAGTCGGAGCGGAACTACACCGTTCAGGAGTGGGAGTGTCTCGTGGTGGTTTGGACTGTGGACAAATTCCGACCATACCTGAAGTTCACAAAGTTCGAGATCCACTGCGATCACTCCTTACTGGCCTGGATGTTTAGTACAAACCAAGCCTCACCAAGAGTCAAACGATGGGTTCTTCGGCTTCAGGGGGTGAACTGCAAGATCAAGCGCCGCAGGGGGCTTGCAAATGCCCCACCTTACGCCCTCAGGAGAGCTCCGCTTCAATGTATGGACAGTCCTGAAAACAGCCTACCAGAGACGCTTTTCCCCATTTCTGCGCCGGAGACTGAGTGCCAAATCAGTTTCGAACCAGCTGCGACAGTGTCCATGATGGACGATGCCACAGTCCTGAGTGACCCGTGAAGCCTGGTTCATGACCAACATCAAGACGCCCATTTGTCCAAGCTCAGAATGGTGATGCAGGGAACGAAGCTTCCAGACAACACAACAGACCAACGCCTACTGGGCGGCCTGGCTGAGACGACAGAGCTGGAGGCCAATGGGTTGCTCGTTCAGCACAGAGGTAACAAGAAGGTACCCTGGCTCCCGGACCAACTTCACCAGTTAGTACTCAAGATGGCACACGACCACCCCACTGGAGCTCTCGCAGGGTTTTTCAAAACCCTGAAACGTGTTTCTGAACGCTTCGCCTGGCTGGGCATGCGAGCCGATGTATCCAAGTACGTCCGGTGCTGCCAGGTATGCCAGCGGAAAAAGGCCCAACGCCAGAGGCCCGAAGGGCTTATGAGCACCAGTGGGCCACTTCGCCCATGGAGGAGCTCAGCGTGGACATCGTGGGACCTCTGCCATCCACGCCTCGACGCCTCAAATACCTGCTCGTGGTAAATGACAAGTTTACCTAGTTTATCGAACTCTTCCCTCTGCGCGGGACAACAAGCAGCAACATTGTGAAGTGTACCGTGCAGGTGCTCTGCCGTCTTGGCACACTTGCGACTATATCCAGTGACAATGTCAAGCTGTTTGTGAGCACCGTATAGCAAGCACTGGGGCATCAAGGACCGCCATCGGTGCCTTATCGGCCGGCAGGAAAAATGGTGGAGCGCCACAACGGCACAGTGAAAGGATGCCTCCGAGCCTACTGCTCCGACCGCAAAGACTGGGACCGTCACATCCCCGAGATCGCCTTCGCCATGCGCACGGCTGAGACCGTAGTGGCGGGATACACGTCGGTGGTCCTGTGTTACGGTGGGGAACTGCGCACCCCGTGGGAGCAACCAGGAAGCAAGGACGAGACTGAAACGCCTGAAACGGCTTGCCATGCCTTTGCTGCTGAGGTCACCAGGTGCTTTCAGGATGCTCTCAGCTTTGCGAGAGAGCACCAGGAGGCAGCTAGGCAAACCCAAAAGGCCGGCTACGACCGGCACAGTAAGCCTGCAACAAAAAACAGGGTGACCTCGCCCTAGTGGACAGCCACACCTTGAGTAATGCTGCCAAGGGCATCACGGCCAAGCTTGCACCGCGGCGCTCTGGCCCTTCCGCGTGGCACGCACAGTGCTTGGGTGAGAATGACTTTCTACTGAGGGACCCAACTACCGGACGTCGCTGCGGAGTGCCTCACGCAGACCAGTTGACAGTCTACCACGAAGATAGACCAGGTGCCACTCCTGCAATTTCACGAATGAAGGGGGGGGGGGGGGGAGACCTCTAAGGAGTGTGAGGAGTGTGTGGCCCCGGCGACAACCGGAACCGTGCGGGGAAACTCTTTCCCTAGGGGGGGGGGGGGGGGGGGCTTCGCAGGGACAACGCTTGTCCCCGCTCCCGCGAGTCGCGGGAAGGAGCGAGAGACGGGAGTCAGTGGGAAATGGTGCTGGGAGAATAAAAGGAGCGTTGCAAGCTCACGTGAGACGTATGTGACAGTGTCCGCTCTGCCGAGCCAGGCGTGACAACCTAATCACTAATTGGATTGATAATGGAAACGATGCTCACGAGGATAATGCAGAAAACCTAAAAGTATAATTTCCTAGGCAGATTACAGAAAATGGTCCTATGCGCGTCGTGTTGGCACCACAGAGATTACATTTCACCAGCGGTATTTTGTGCTTGCAGCACTCCAGGGAAATTTGTGGCAGGTATACCCGGCGTCGCTTTTCACAGCCCACTAGTTGTTGTGGTGTGCTGGTATTCAACGAGGAGCGAAATATACCTTCTTCTTTGGAACGTACGACGTATATATTGCCGCGCGCAAGGCTGAGAAAGCAACGCTCGGTCACGGTCCTCCAGAAAGTTCCCGTTTATTCATGTACCGCACGTAACTTCTATCATTTATCCCTGCTTTCTAGAAAGTGCGTGTTCATTCTCGCCCCGATCACGCGACGCTCGAACCGCTTTCGCCGAATCTTCGAGATAGCGGCGCACTCTAGATAAGAGGCCGCCCGCGACCTTGTCGAGTCAGTCTCGCCCTAGCGCTCGATTCTGCTGACACGCCGACTTCGACGCCCGCGACGCTCTGCTTTCTTCTGTTTCCTTCTTTATTTTCGGCACAAGTTCGCCACATTAAACGTTTATTTCTCCCTGTTTATTTCCTGTTTTCTTTTGGTCACCAACCGTTACATTTTGGTGGAGGTGCGGGGTACCGCATGCCCGTACAGCGTTCCCCTCCCGGGGCCCGCAGTGCAAGCCCGATTCCAAGCCCTGTGACAAGACCACTCAACGCGGAACCTGAAACTCGGACCAGTGGCCGAACCCAAGGTCTACACCCGGAATACGGACTTCTGCCACCCAGGACCAGGCAGCCTACGAGGCCGATGATGGACGACCAGCAATCGCAGTCCCCGACCGCCGCCGCCGTCGTCTACCTGCCTGTTGCCCAGCGAACCCCGACGACCTTCCATGGCGAGACCCACGAAGACGTAGAGGACTGGCTCCTGCACTACGAACGTGTAGCACGCCATAATGGATGGACCACTGAGCAGCGCCTCCAAAACCTCTACTTCTCCTTGGAGGGTACCGCGAGGCAGTGGTTCGAGAACCACGAGGCGTCGCTTACGTCGTGGGACACCTGTACCGCTGGCCTGAAGGAGACATTCACGAACCAGACACGACGACAGCGAGCGGAAGACCTCCTTCAAGTACGAACTCAAGGGCCCAACGAAACGGTAACCAGCTTCGTTGAAGACGTCCTCCGCCTGAGTAGCCGCGCCGATCCTCAGTCCACCGAGGAAAAGAAGCTGCGTCTCCTGATGCGCGGCGTGAAGGACGACATTTTCGGTGGCCTCGTACGCAACCCACCGACGACGATTCAAGAATTTGTAACCGAGGCGACGAACATTGAGCGTGCACTGCAATCCCGAGCCAGCCACTACCAGAGGCTACCCGGCGTCAGCGCGGTTCCGCCGTCCGCTTGCGACCTTGGCTCCAGCATCTCCAGCATTCGCCAGATCATCCGGGACGTCGTCCGGGAGGAAATTAAGAAGCTCCTGCCTGCTACCCACCAGCCGGCTTCGGTGTCAATAGCCGAAGTTGTCCGCGACGAGGTTCAGCGGGCAATTCAACTGGAGGCTCCTGCCAACGTAGCTGCACCCGAGGAGCCCACCGTGACCTACGCCGCAGTGGCCCGACGGCCACCGCCTCCTCCTCGCGCCTATGTCGCGCCGCCCCGACGCCAGTCTCCTGCGCCGCAGCACGACCGACGCCGCGACGACCAGCCCCAGTACGCCAGCCAGGAGCCCCGTGTACCCCGGAAGACCAATGTGTGGCGAACGGCCGACCGACGCCCGCTCTGCTACCACTGCGGGGAAGCCGACCATGTGTACCGCCGATGCCCATACCGACGACTCGGGCTGCGCGGATTCCACCCAAACGACCCGCGCCCCCGGTATGGTGAACGTCCTCGGGAGATCGACGAGTACCTGCGACGACCTCAGTCGCCCGAGCCTGCGTCCCGCCGAGAGTTCCGGTCGCCTTCGCCCCGACGTCCAGCTTTGCCCATGCACCGACCCCGACGTGAAAGCCTGTCGCCCCTCGCTCCTCGCCGGGGAAACTAGGCGCGGCAACCCCTGGAGGTGGAGTTGCCGAAGACAACCGACGTAAAGAGCCTCCAAGAACGACGGAGCGCTCCCACTCTCCCGACCCCAAGCATCACAACGACGCTCCTGCATCGGTGTCTAACAACCTGAACGTTGTGATCGACGGCCTCGACGCATCGGCACTCGTGGACACCGGAGCAGACTACTCAGTCTTGAGTGGGA